GACTATCATTTGTTTTTCAACAGAACAATGACTCAAAACACACCTCCAGGCGGTGTAAGGGCTATTTGACCAAGAAGGAGAGTGATGGAGTGCTGCATCAGATGACCTGGCCTCCACAATCACCCGACCTCAATCCAATTGAGATGGTTTGGGATGAGTTGGACCTTAGAGTGAAGGAAAAGCTGCCAACAAGTGCTCAGCATATGTGGGAACAACAAGACTGTTGGAAAAGCGTTCCAGGTGAAGCTGTTTGAGAGAATGCCAAAAGTGTGCAAAGCTGTCATCAAGGCAAAGGGTGGCTACTTTGAAGAATCTCAAATATAAAATATGGGTTACTACATGATTCCATATGTTTTATTTCATAGTTTTGATGTCTTCACTATTATTCTACAATAAAGAAAATAGTACAAATTAAGAAAAACCTTTGAATGAGTAGGTGCCCAAACTTTTGACTGGTACTGTATATAGGGGGGAAATTGATCTCCGGGCCTACAGGGAGTTTCCATCCCTGTAAAAAGGTAATGATGTCCTCTCCAACTCCCCTGGTTGTACTTACTGTAAGGACATCCATAGGCTTCCAATCTCAGGCCTATCCTCCCATTGGGGTTCCAGTCTTGAGGAAGTAACCGCAGGAACCTGGCGAAGACTGGCTGCTGCAGTTTAAACTGCACCACACTGTCTGCATTGCTGTTCCCTGTGAACGCCTGGAACACACAGAGGGGACAGTTTCATTAACTGCCTGATTTACACATTATACTCATCTTCTTTGGATGCTACACGTCAGTGGAGGCTGCTGAGGGGAGAACGGCTCATAAAAAGGCCTGGAAAGGAGCAAATGGAATGGCATCAAACACAATGGAAACCATTTGTATGATGTATTTGATGCATTTGATACCATTCCACCTATTCCGGTCCAGCCATTACCACGAGCCCGTCCTCCCCAATTAAGGTGCCACCAACCTCCTGTGCTACACATCTATTAGCTTACAAAACCATATATCCTGGACCTATTGTGTAGATTATAGAGGTACGTTTGGGAAACCCACTGTTCAATTTGTTTCTGTGTTGTACATAGGCAAAACTGGCCAATATTAAGAACAGGTTACCCCAATAATTTTTTTAAAATCAATCAAAGTCATTCGGACGCACAGCGCCTCCTCTGCTTACTGTCTATTCGCGCCACACATTTCAGTGTGCTGCTCAGCAGCCTCAGCCAAGCCGGTACTTGCCTTGCAGTCCATCCGGTCGCATTCACATACATCTCTGGAATGGTATGTACCCTCTGGTGTGGTGCCCCTCCCTCTCCGCTCCTTGAAAAAATATATTTTGCAAACATGCCATCTACCTCTTGACTCCAGAGAGCAACAAGCATGTCGCAAACACAAAGTTCCGTTAAGGTAGATAATCGATGTGTGATTTGTTGTTGTAAAAAAAAATATGTACGTTTGTCTTAGTGACCAATGACCATGCATTGCATTAACATTAAGCTGGCCCAACGAAACAAGCTAGTTAAAGTTGATTATTTCGCCAAGATTAGGATATTTTGCAGAATTTCTCAGTAGCTAGGTTTCCATCTAATTGGCGACAGATTTTAATGCAAATATTCTAGAATCTGCATAAAGAAAATATGTGCATTTTCCCAACAGTGGTGTTTCCACCAAACGGACTTGTTGAGGATAAAATATAAGTGCGTGATGAAGTAATGCACACAAAATTTACTTTTTCACTTACATTTTCATGTAGCAAATACAAATCTAAAGTTCAATGTGTTTCCATCGCATTTTCAACTCTACCAATAGTTTTGCCACAAAAACTGTTGCGTTGAATAGCAAATGTGCCTAATCTGGTTTTGGCACCTGAGATCTAGCCAACATCTCGCAGATACAGTGTGGGTAGGCTGTGTGGGTTGGCTAGTGTACATGATGAGATTTTTATGGATAAGAGCAAGAACCTTTTTATTTGTCAAATGGCAGTCAAGCATCAATCATCTTTTCACCAGAATAAGACCCTTAGTATTTATTGGAAAGCAGTATCAAGCTCATCACCGTGCACATTCACCACCCTGTGAAGTTCATCATAACTTATTTCATCTGTAGCCTAATAAACTGCATGGTTTCACGAGTTGTAGTGGGAGGACCACACACTATATCATCACGTGACTCCAAGTTTACTTTGATATGATGGTTGTTATATCAATATTTGCGCAGAAAGACGTTTCCACTGCCATTTCCTGCATAATTAATTTTACAGTCACAAAAAGATCCCACCATGTTGAACAAACAAATGATCTGTCGGCATTTATAAAATTACACAGAAACGTCCTGTTTCCATCACAGCTGTCATGATTTTATTTTATACGATATGACTTTACCTGCATAAAAACTGCTAATGGAAACGTGGTTAATTCTGTGCATATGCACGCTCTTCATATAATGGTGCAATGTGTGCATCATCGAAAAAAACACAGTTGCTAGCATTGCAATTATTGAACTTTAACTCACCATTGTAAAATAAAAATAATAAAAAATAGTTGGTCTATTAGTGACATTGCATTGCATTAAGCTGGCCCAACGAAACAAGCTAGTTGAATAGATTATTTCACCTAAATAACTAGGATATTTTGCAGAATCTCTCATCAGCTATATGCACCAGTGTATATGCACACTCTTCATTCATTGGTGTGCATCAGTGAAAAAGCAGAGTAGCTTGCAACTCACCCATTGTAAAAAAAAAAAAAGTTTTGTCGTGGTGGTGTGATGTAATCCATGCATTCATTGAATGTACATCATATTTAACTGGCTGGCTCAACGAACAAGCTAGATCTAGTTACTAGCTACGTAATCTCACCTACCAGCCAGCTTGCTCTCTGTCTAGATGTTTGGTTTCAGAGCGCATCAGAACGGGACTTGAATGGCAGTCTATGACAGGAGCAGCAAAAACAGACACCGGTTTTAATTGGCTGATCTCTCAGTCCATCACCAGGCATCTAGCACCTTCACCTCTTTAGGCAAAACAAGGAAGTGAGTTCGGGAGAAAAAAAAAATGTTTGTTGCACATATACGTTTTATATGCCTGAATTCAGAATCAATTGGGCTCTCCAAAAATGTTACGGTCGCTGTGCTAGAAATGTTTTTCAAAGTCCCATCTAATACAGCTGTAGCAGGCTTTCTCCCTCTCCCGCCTCCATTTTAAAGGTAGACTCAGCCAAATTACGTTACCACAAGCAGCACTGGAGATATTGAGATGAACGAGATGCAACACTTCGCTACACACAGTATTTGCGCATGTGCATGGGTTCGCTTCACGCTGTGTGGAGAAGTTGAGCCTCGCGCTTCAACGCTCTTTTTGCTACGGAAATTGACCCACTATGCTGTTTACTTTCTGCTTCTACGTCATATCGCTGAGTTTACCTTTAACCACACACCTTTCAAGTCTCACTTTGAGGAACAGCGTTAACAGGCTCTATGTGCCAGCAATTCGAGCCTGGGGACGAGGTTACTAGCTACGTGCATAATCATCCATGCTTCCCACATTTTCATTCTCATTTTATTCACAGTGTGAGTGAGAAGTGAGTCTCAGCCTAGTCTGTCTCCATATGCCACCGCCAGGTAAAAGAAAGGGTCCAGATAACCGCCTTTTATTTGGGCATCATCTGTAACTTCTGTCCCACTGAGCTGGATCTTCTGTCCCGCTGAGCTATGCACACTGCACAGCTCAGGCTGAGTGGAAGACAGAAGTTCGGAGGGGGGATGGAAACTGTCATTCTTTACAGCAGGCCAGGTATAGCACTTATTGTGTCATTTAAAATCTTGAAAGAATCATGTATGTGTCCTTGTCGGCTGTTATAGGGTGCGAGAGAGGCAAGAGACTGTGAGGAGAGTGAAGTCAGTGCAGGCAGGGGCAGCAGCAGTGTTGATCTTCCTTTGGAAACCAGTCATGTACAGACACATAACATTAAAACTGTGCGCTCTCTGCCTTCAGCGATCATCACATATTCGTATCTACTTTTTTACCCAGGTTAAAATAGATTAAATGGAACTAGGCCCTACATTTACAATTTGCATAGCTTGAATGAATCATGTAGTCCTGGACAAATGTGATTTTTGATAGAGCAATGTCCTTTAAAGTACACTTCATAGGTTATCCAGTAACACAGGACATTGGTCTCTGTCTGGCTCACCATATGTCCTTGTCTGCTGTGATTGGGTGCGAGAGAGGCAAGCAACCGTAAGAAGAGGTCAGTGCAGGCAGGGGCAGCGGCAGGGTTGGTGTAGAGGTGAGTGAGAGGAGAGTTATTCTCAAAAAGTTAAAATAAAAAGTAGTCTCACAAAACTAGAGTCCCTTTCATGATGTATATTGTACTGATGTATGAAGGTGGCAAAATGGCTGCATGTGATGATCAGCCTTTCTACAACACCAATCGCATGTCTAAAAATCAAATTTATTTTAACGTGCATCATTAATATACAACTCAGTCTTCATCTTCTGTGTCTTCTTAATATTTGCTGAGAAATACCTTCATTAATGATGGTGAAAACTTACCCCTCCATTTACCCATCCATTTACCCTCCATTTACCCCTCAGAATGCCCCTCCATTTACTCCTCCATTTACGCCTCAAAATACCCTACCATTTACCCCTCAAAATGCCCCTCCATTTACCCCTCAAAGTCCCTTCATTTACCCCTCAAAATGCCCCTCATTTTACCCCTCGAAATGCCCCCCATATACCCCTCAAAATGCCCCTCCATTTACCCCTCAAAATGCCCCTCCATATACCCCTCCATAAACCCCTCAAAATGCCCCTCCATATACCCCTCAAAAATGTCCCTCCATATACCCCTCCATATACCCCTCAAAATGCTCTCCATCTACCCCTCAAAATGCCCCTCCATATACCCCTCAAATGCCCTTCCATATACCCCTCAAAATGCCCTTCCATATACCCCTCAAAATGTCCCTCCATATACCCCTCCATATACCCCTCAAAATGATCTCCATCTACCCCTCAAAATGCCCATCCATATACCCCTCAAAATGCCCCTCCATATACCCCTCAAATGCCCCTCCATATCCTCTCAAAATGCCCTTCCATATACCCCTCAAAATGCCCCTCCATTTACTCCTCAAAAAACCCCTCCATATACCCCTCCATATACCCCTCAAAAAGCCCATCCATAAACCCCTCAAAATGCCCCTCCATTTACCCCTCCATTTACCCCTCCATATACCTCTCAAAATGCCCCTCCATATACCCCTCAAAATGCACCTCCATATACCCCTCAAAATGACCCTCAATGTACACCTCAATATACACCTCAAAATGCCCCGCCATATACCCCTCAAAATGCCCCTCCATTTACCCCTCAAAATGCCCCTCCATATACCCCTCTATAAACCCCTCAAAATGCCCCTCCATATACACTTAAAACATTTCCCTTCATATACCCCTCAAAATGCCCCTCCATATACCCCTCTATAAACCCCTCAAAATGCCCCTCCATATACCCCTAAAAAATTTCCCTTCATATACCCCTCAAAATGCCCCGCCATATACCCCTCAAAATGCCCCTCCATATACCCCTCAAAATGCGCTTCTATATACCCCTCAAAATGCCCCTCCATATACCCCTCAAAATGCGCTTCTATATACCCCTCCATATACCCCTCAAAATGTCCCTCCATATACCCCTCCATATACCCCTCAAAATGCTCTCCATCTACCCCTCAAAATGCCCCTCCATATACCCCTCTAATGCCCCTCCATATCCCCTCAAAATGCCCCTCCATTTACTCCTCAAAAAAACCCTCCATATACCCCTCAAAAAGCCCATCCATAAACCCCTCAAAATGCCCCTCCATTTACCCCTCTACAGCGAGGAGAACAAGTATTTGATACACTGCCAATTGTGCAGGTTTTCCTACTTACAAAGCATGTAGAGGTCTGTAATTTTTATCATAGGTACACTTCAACTGTGAGAGACGGAATCTAAAACAAAAATCCAGAAAATCACATTGTATGATTTTTAAGTAATTAATTTGCATTTTATTGCATGTCATAAGTATTTGATCACCTACCAACCAGTAAGAATTCCGGCTCTCACAGACCTGTTAGTTTTTCTTTAAGAAGCCCTCCTGTTCTCCACTCATTACCTGTATTAACTGCACCTGTTTGAACTCGTTACCTGTATAAAAGACACCTGTCCACACACTCAATCAAACAGACTCCAACCTCTCCACAATGGCCAAGACCAGAGAGCTGTGTAAGGACATCAGGGATAAAATTGTAGACCTGCACAAGGCTGGGATGGGCTACAGGACAATAGGCAAGCAGCTTGGTGAGAAGGCAACAACTGTTGGCGCAATTATTAGAAAATGGAAGAAGTTCAAGATGAAGGTCAATCAGCCTCGGTCTGGGGCTCCATGCAAGATCTCACCTCGTGGGGCATCAATGATCATGAGGAAGGTGAGGGATCAGCCCAGAACTACACGGCAGGACCTGGTCAATGACCTGAAGAGAGCTGGGACCACAGTCTCAAAGAAAACCATTAGTAACACACTACGCCGACATGGATTAAAATCCTGCAGCGCACGCAAGGTCCCCCTGCTCAAGCCAGTGCATGTCCAGGCCCGTCTGAAGTTTGCCAATGACCATCTGGATGATCCAGAGGAGGAATGGGAGAAGGTCATGTGGTCTGATGAGACAAAAATAGAGCTTTTTGGTCTAAACTCCACTCGTCGTGTTTGGAGGAAGAAGAAGGATGAGTACAACCCCAAGAACACCATCCCAACCGTGAAGCATGGAGGTGGAAACATCATTCTTTGGGGATGCTTTTCTGCAAAGGGGACAGGACGACTGCACCGTATTGAGGGGAGGATGGATGGGGCCATGTATCTCGAGATCTTGGCCAACAACCTCCTTCCCTCAGTAAGAGCATTGAAGATGGGTCGTGGCTGGGTCTTCCAGCATGACAACGACCCGAAACACACAGCCAGGGCAACTAAGGAGTGGCTCCGTAAGAAGCATCTCAAGGTCCTTGAGTGGCCTAGCCAGTCTCCAGACCTGAACCCAATAGAAAATCTTTGGAGGGAGCTGAAAGTCCATATTGCCCAGCGACAGCCCCAAAACCTGAAGGATCTGGAGAAGGTCTGTATGGAGGAGTGGGCCAAAATCCCTGCTGCAGTGTGTGCAAACCTGGTCAAGACCTACAGGAAACATATGATCTCTGTAATTGCAAACAAAGGTTTCTGTACCAAATATTAAGTTCTGCTTTTCTGATGTATCAAATACTTATGTCATGCATTAAAATGCAAATTAATTACTTAAAAATCATACAATGTGATTTTCTGGATTTTTGTTTTAGATTCCGTCTCTCACAGTTTAAGTGTACCTATGATAAAAATGACAGACCTCTACATGCTTGGTAAGTAGGAAAACCTGCAAAATCGGCAGTGTATCAAATACTTGTTCTCCCCACTGTATATACCTCTCAAAATGATCTCCATCTATCCCTCAAAATGCCCCTCCATATACCCCTCAAAAATGCCCCTGCTGATTTTGTAAGTTTGCCCACTGACAAAGATCAGTCTATAATTTTAATGGTAGGTTTATTTGAACAGTGAGAGACAGAATAACAACAACAAAATCCAGAAAAACGCATGTCAAGAATGTTATAAATTGATTTGCATTTTAATGAGGGAAATAAGTATTTGACCCCTCTGCAAAACATGACTTAATACTTGGTGGCAAAACCCTTGTTGGCAATCACAGAGGTCAGACGTTTCTTGTAGTTGGCCACCAGGTTTGCACACATCTCAGGAGGGATTTTGTCCCACTCCTCTTTGCAGATCTTCTCCAAGTCATTAAGGTTTCGAGGCTGATGTTTGGCAACTCGAACCTTCAGCTCCCTCCACAGATTTCCTATGGGATTAAGGTCTGGAGACTGGCTAGGCCACTCCAGGACCTTAATGTGCTTCTTCTTGAGCAACTCCTTTGTTGACTTGGCCGTGTGTTTTGGGTCATTGTCATGCTGGAATACCCATCCACGACCCATTTACAATGCCCTGGCTGAGGGAAGGAGGTTCTCACCCAAGATTTGACGGTACATGGCCCCATCCATCGTCCCTTTGATGCGGTGAAGTTGTCCTGTCCCCTTAGCAGAAAAACACCCCCAAAGCATAATGTTTCCACCTCCATGTTTGACAGTGGGAATGGTGTTCTTGGGGTCACAGGCAGCATTCCTACTCCTCCAAACACGGCGAGTTGAGTTGATGCCAAAGAGCTCCATTTTGGTCTCATCTGACCACAACACTTTCACCCAGTTCTCCTCTGAATCATTCAGATGTTCATTGGCAAACTTCAGACGGGCCTGTATATGTGCTTTCTTGAGCAGGGGGACCTTGCGGGCGCTGCAGAATTTCAGTCCGTCACGGCGTAGTGTGTTACCAATTGTTTTCTTGGTGATTATGGTCCCAGCTGCCTTGAGATCATTGACAAGATCCTTCCGTGTAGTTCTGGGCTGATTCCTCACCGTTCTCATGATCATTGCAACTCCACGAGGTGAGATCTTGCATGGAGCCCCAGGCCGAGGGAGATTGACAGTTATTTTGTGTTTCTTCCATTTGCGAATAATCGCACCAACTGTTGTAACCTTCTCACCAAGCTGCTTGGCGATGGTCTTGTAGCCCATTCCAGCCTTGTGTAGGTCTACAATCTTGTCCCTGACATCATTGGAGAGCTCTTTGGTCTTGGCCATGGTGGAGAGTTTGGAATCTGATTGATTGATTGCTTCTGTGGACAGGTGTCTTTTATACAGGTAACAAGCTGAGATTAGGAGCACTCCCTTTAAGTGTGCTCCTAATCTCAGCTCGTTACCTGTATATAAGACACCTGGGAGCCAGAAATCTTTCTGATTGAGAGGGGGTCAAATATTTATTTCCCTCATTAAAATGCAAATCAATTTATAACATTTTTGACATGCGTTTTTCTGGATTTTTTTTTTGTTATTCTGTCTCTCATTGTTCAAATAAACCTACCATTAAAATTATACACTGATCATTTCTTTGTCAGTGGGCAAACATACAAAATCAGCAGGAGATCAAATACTTTTTTCCCTCACTGTACCCCTCAAAATGTCCCTCCATATACCCCTCAAAATGTCCCTCCATATACCCCTCAAACAGCCCCTCTATATACCCCTCAAATTGCCCCTCCATATCCCCCTCAAAATGCCCCTCCATATACCTCTCAATGTCCCTCCATATACCCCTCCGTATACCCCTCGAAATACCCCTCCGCATACCCCTCAATGCCCCTCCGTATACCCCTCAAAATGCCCCTCCATATATCCCTCAAAATGCCCCTCCATATACCCCTCAAAATGCCCCTCCATATATCTCTCAATGCCCCTCCATATACCCCTCCGTATACCCCTCAAAATACCCCTCCGCATACCCCTCAATGCCCCTCCGTATACCCCTCAAAATGTTCCTCCATATACACCTCCATATACCCCTTAATGTCCCTCCATATACACCTCAAAATGCCTCTCTATATACCCCTCAAAATGCCCCTCAAAATTCCCCTCCATATACCCCTCAAAATTCCCCTCCATATACCCCTCAAAATGCCCCTCCATATACCCCTCAAACAGCCCCTCGATATACCCCTCAAACAGCCCCTCTATATACCCCTCAAAATGCCCCTCCATATACCTCTCAATGCCCCTCCATATACCCCTCCGTATACCCCTCGAAATACCCCTCCGCATACCCCTCAATGCCCCTCCGTATACCCCTAAAAATGTCCCTCCATATACACCTCCATATACCCCTCAATGTCCCTCCATATACACCTCAAAACGCCCCTCCATATACCCCTCAAAATGCCCCTCCATATACCCCTCAAAATGCCCCTCTATATACCCCTCAAAATGCCCCTCCATATACCCCTCAAACAGCCCCTCTATATACTCCTCAAAATGCCCCTCCATATACCCCTCAAAATGCCCCTCCATATACCCCTCAAAATGCCCCTCTATATACCCCTCAAAATGCCCCTCCATATACCCCTCAAACAGCCCCTCTATATACTCCTCAAAATGCCCCTCCATATACCCCTCAAAATGCCCCTCCGTATACCCCTCGAAATACCCCTCCGTATACCCCTCGAAATACCCCTCCGCATACCCCTCAATGCCCCTCCGTATACCCCTAAAAATGTCCCTCCATATACACCTCCATATACCCCTCAATGTCCCTCCATATACACCTCAAAATGCCCCTCCATATACCCCTCAAAATGCCCCTCCATATACCCCTCAAAATGCCCCTCTATATACCCCTCAAAATGCCCCTCCATATACCCCTCAAACAGCCCCTCTATATACTCCTCAAAATGCCCCTCCATATACCCCTCAAAATGCCCCTCCATATACCCCTCAAAATGCCCCTCTATATACCCCTCAAAATGCCCCTCCATATACCCCTCAAACAGCCCCTCTATATACTCCTCAAAATACCCTTCCGTTTATCCCTCAAAATGCCCCTGAAGAGAGGCATAATAATGTGTTTCCGGGGGAGGACCCATGGACCCCCCTCTAAAATTCCCACCCAATATCTGCACCACAATTTCGCCCTTAGTGTAGTAATTTCTAAAATACTTTATTGGTACAGTATGATGAAAAATGCATTTGTATTGCCAAGAATAGTATAGTAAAGTTATTATATAACAAGCTTTGCCTAATACCACTGAGGAGAACACATAGCCGCATTGATGAAGTGGGTTCTGAAGAGTGGTTTCATACTGATAAGAACTGTAATACTGATGCTCTTTCTTATGTTTTGCTGGCAAATACTTAGGTCTACTCTATGAATAATGAGCGTAGTTAACCTCTCTGATCCTAATTTATGTGGCTAATATGACATGGAAATATTACTGTGTCCTGTTATTGGTCCTCTCCTCCAGCTCTCTTTGCGTCCCAAATGTATGGGTATGGGCCCTGACCAAAAGTAGTGCACTAAATAAGGAATAGGGTGGTATTTGGGATATAGCCCCTGTCTCTCATTAAGAAGGGTAAATAATGGGGTCATCCCCCAGGAGTTCCCTACTCACTATTCCATCCTCCCTTTCAAGTTGACACTCTGGTTAATTGGCGGTTCAAACTCCAAAATAAGGGTGAAATACCTAATTAACACAGAATTTGCAAACTATTATTGTGAAATAGATAGGAGGCAGTCCAGTAGCTCCCTCTCATGTTGGCTAGGGGAGACCATACTATACCTTATGTTGGGTTGACATGAGAGACGCGGTTACACAATGTATAGTTAGAAGCCAGCTCCCTTTTACACTGGCTAGCGTCAGTTGGCCCTAGAGATGCCGATATAGCAATGTGTGTGGCAAGCAGCAATCGATAACCACATGACTTATTCAGTACCCATCCTGAGCCTTTCTCATAAGAGTAATGGGGACTGGTTCCCCCTACAGTCACCTGCCTATTGTAAAGGAAATCAATGGAACCCACTTCAACTGAAACTTAAAATGAAAAGTGAGGTCTGAGGTCCGAGGTGGCATTGGAATTTTCAAAAACAAAGAGTTGTGTGCGATACTACAGTTTTTTTGTTGTTGTTGTTTTTTACAACTAAGTTTATACTATAGCATTTGACATCTGTCTTGGAGTGAAATGTACTTTCTTAGCATTGTTGCCTAACTTGAAAGGCTGAGAAGCACCTTCAGTTTCTTTAAAGCAGGTTGACGTTTATTGGAATGAGTGTTGTCCTGGAGGCAGAACTGAGATTCCTCTAGATAGGCCAGCTGCAAAGTCAAAATTGGCTATATTGTAAAAATTCATGAAAACAAAAATGTGCTTTTTGGTCTTAATTTAACTTTAGGGTTAGGCATTAGGGTTAGCAGTGTGTTTAAGGTTAGGGTTAAGGTTAGGTTTAGTTTTCAAATCGGATTTTATGACTTTGTGGCTGTGCCAGCTAGTGACCACGCTGCAGAGCTGCCTCTAGAACAAGAATCATGACGAAAAACGCGAATCTGTGTCTTTAAAGGGGGAGGATGAGCCATGCATCTGGTGAAGTGGAGCGTTAAGCCCAACAAATTGCACTGTTTCCCTGCTGAGGAAGCTCAGTATGCTGCATCTCATTTGTGTGTGTGTGTGTGTGTGTGTGTGTGTGTGTGTGTGCGGTGTGTGTGTGTGTCTATGATGAAGCCCAGGAAGCAGCATCTCATTTGCTCCTGGAGTGAGGTGTCCCTTTGAAATATGCCATGAGTCAAGGTGCAAATCCCTCCATTGCCTGCCCCCTGCCTGAAAAGCCTTTGCTCATGGAGAGAGAAAGAGAGAGAGAACAACATTCATCCCTACAACTCAAACTTACTAAACCCTGTCTGAGGAAACAAAAAACACGCACTAGGACTTTTGACCGATACTGATACTAGACTGCTGCTGTCATCGACTTAGCTAGCTGGGAAGAGTAGTGTCTGGAGTTAAAAAATCCTTAAAGCGGTTCTTAGGATTTATCAGAATGTGTGCAGACACTTTATGCTAAGTACTTTTAAAAGATACGTAGTCAAACTGTGAGTAGATGAGAGTACTGTAGTTGTGAAATCAGAATTAATTTCATTGACAATTTTTCTAATTCTCTCCTCATGTCAGCTAAAATTAACAGAATGTTATTCAGTACAGAAAGCAAGTAACAAGGATGGTAAAACGCAGCTAAATCTAATAATTATCTCAGTCAACAGTATAAAGCTAAGCTGAGCTGTTCCTGCCTTCCACTGTTTCATATATTATTCATTGATAGTGAAAGGACTCTTATGAGGCTATTTGGGAGTTGGCTACATGGTGTACGGGGCTGCGTCTGAAATAGCACCCTATTCCCTACATAGTGTGCTACGTTTGTCCATGGGCCCTCGTCTAGCCTCTGCCACAGGCTTTCACCTCACCTCAACGTGAGCGAAGCCTGGGAGCCGAGGGTAGGCCTGGTAAAACGTAGCACACTATACAGGGAAAAGGGTGCCATTTTAGACACAGCCATTATGGTCTGGTCCCACTGACTTACCCTGATGTTGTCCTCCTGGCGGTACTGTTTCCAGTTGCAACCCGTGTCGCTGAACATGAGGAGGAAGGAGGAGACCCAGTCTGAGCTGCCGTAGCGACCCTGCGTGGCCACGGCTGTGATCTCTGTCCGCTCCCCCAGGTCCACCTCCAACCACTGGTACTTATTAGACTCCACAGGAGCCCAGCCTCCAGCACCTGCAGGAGATACCACACATTGTAACTCTTTGGGCCAGTTTCCCGGACACAGATTAAGCCTAATACTGGACTAAAGAGCATTTTCAATGGAGATTATCCAATATGTAATTTATTGTTAATAATAATCTATTAATAGATTGTTGCGCTGCATTGTGCCTCTCAAAATAAAGTGCTACCGTGAACCATATAAGAGGAGCACACGCGTAAGACATAATCAGTGGACACATACAGTACAGTGTACAGTACATGATCAGTTCAGTGTATATCCTCAGTGGAAAGGAAGCAGTTCAGTGTATATCCTCAGTGGGAATGAAGCAGTTCAGTGTATATCCTCATTGGGAATGAAGCAGTTCAGTGTATATCATCAGTGAGAATGAAGCAGTACAGTGTATATCATCAGTGGGAATGAAGCAGTTCAGTGTATATCATCAGTGGGAATGAAGCAGTTCAGTGTATATCATCAGTGGGAATGAAGCAGTTCAGTGTATATCATCAGTGGGAATGAAGCAGTTCAGTGTATATCATCAGTGGGAATGAAGCAGTTCAGTGTATATCATCAGTGGGAATGAAGCAGTTCAGTGTATATCATCAGTGGGAATGAAGCAGTTCAGTGTATATCATCAGTGGGAATGAAGCAGTTCAGTGTATATCATCAGTGGGAATTAAGCAGTTCAGTGTATATCATCAGTGGGAATGAAGCAGTTCAGTGTATATCATCAGTGGGAATGAAGCAGTTCAGTGTATATCATCAGTGGGAATGAAGCAGTTCAGTGTATATCATCAGTGGGAATGAAGCAGTTCAGTGTATATCATCAGTGGGAATGAAGCAGTTCAGTGTATATCATCAGTGGGAATGAAGCAGTTCAGTGTATATCATCAGTGGGAATGAAGCAGTTCAGTGTATATCATCAGTGGGAATGAAGCAATTCAGTGTATATCATCAGTGGGAATGAAGCAGTTCAGTGTATATCATCAGTGGGAATGAAGCAGTTCAGTGTATATCATCAGTGGGAATGAAGCAGTTCAGTGTATATCATCAGTGGGAATGAAGCAGTTCAGTGTATATCATCAGTGGGAATTAAGAAGTTCAGTGTATATCATCAATTGGAATGAAGCAACCTTGCACTGGGAGACCTAACCTGAAAACATCAACATCCATTACAGAGCTGGTGGCTAAACGAGGATGCATGATCCACCATCAGGTACTGTGCACACAACCTGATGTTTATTTCAAGACATGCAAACACATGGGAGAAATACTTCTCAGGTGTCATTGATATTCAGGGCTATTTATGAGCAGCAGTCACTCTACATTGTATGATAAAGAAAAGCAGTTTCTTTCACGCAGCAGATTGGTTTAAATGTGCAGAAGTGTCCTCCTAGACAATCCAAGTCTCTCATGGGATTCACATTAAAGTAACCACTCAAACTGGAGCTCTGCATGGTCATGACTGCAGTAGTGTTTAGAGTCAATCCCCTAAACAGACACTTATCAAGTGCAGTACCATTCATTGATAATTAGCTGCTTTTTGGGGAGAAAAATGTACTGACTAAGTCGTTCTGGATAAGAGCGTCTGCTAAATTACCAAACATTAATGTAAATGTAGATAGAAAAACAATAGAGAAATCTGATCAACAGAGTGTCATATTCCATGAAACATCACAACAGGTTGTGGAACAGGAACAGGTATTTGGCTTCTGCAAGAGCCAGGAGGAGGGAGAGAGGGAGAGCGGGAAACCAGCTGGATAGAGACATGAGGAGGAGGGAGAGAGGGAAGCCAGCTGGATAGAGACATGAGGAAGAGGGAGAGAGGGAAGCCAGTCGGATAGAGACATGAGGAGGAGGGAGAGAGGGAAGCCAGCTGGATAGAGACATGAGGAGGAGGGAGAGAGGGAAGCCAGTCGGATAGAGACATGAGGAGGAGGGAGAGAGGGAAGCCAGTCGGATAGAGACATGAGGAGGAGGGAGAGAGGGAAACCAGCTGGATAGAGACATGAGGACGAGGGAGAGAGGGAAACCAGCTGGATAGAGACATGAGGAGGAGGGAGAGAGGGAAGCCAGTCGGATAGAGACATGAGGAGGAGGGAGAGAGGGAAGCCAGCTGGATAGAGACATGAGGAGGAGGGAGAGAGGGAAGCCAGTCGGATAGAGACATGAGGAGGAGGGAGAGAGGGAAGCCAGCTGGATAGAGACATGAGGAGGAGGGAGAGAGGGAAGCCA